TATCCAAGTTCATGTCACCGTTAGTTTTCTGAAAGAATCTCATTAATTTTGTTTTTTCCAAGTTAATCTTCAATCTATTCATTCTTAACCAGTCTATAACTTTGCTAATCGAATTGTTTATTTCATCTTGATAGGTGTTTACATTTTTACATGGTATTATTAGTGTACTGTCATCTGCGAATAAAATTGATTGATGTTCTGTGCATTTGGGCAGGTCATTAATATAAACAAGGAATAACAGAGGCCCAAGTACGCTTCCTTGGGGCACGCCACGGATTGTTTGTCTAACTGATGACCTAAACGTTTGCTCAATTTTTGAACTAGTAGATATTTTATTTATGACAGTAACTTGTGTCCGATTGCCCAAATACGTTTTTATTAGGTTTAAAACATTACCTCTAATACCATGTCTTTCTAGTTTTCCCAATAATATGTCATGGTCTACATAGTCAAATGCTTTTGACATGTCCATCAAAACCAATGATATCGGTGTTCTACGATCAATATTGTTAATAAGTTTCGTTATCACCTGAAATATTGCCTTATTTATCGACTTATTTTTTCGAAATCCGTATTGTTCTTGACAAAAAATGTCATTACTTTCAAAGAACGAGTAGATGGAGTTAAAAATCACTTTTTCTATGATTTTAGACATTACAGGAATTAAAGCAACGGGCCGATAATTCCCAGGTACCGTTTTATCGTCTTTTTTATGTAAAGGCCTAATCAGAGACACTTTCAATCTACATGGAAACTGACCATTTTCAATACATAGATTTATAATGAAACTTAATACCGGTGCAATTAAGTGTGATACTATTTTTATTGTTTTGGTTGTTATTTCGTCATACCCGGCGCTGTTTGTGTTTTTTAATGATTTTATTATGTTAAGTACTTGTAGCGGATCTGTTGGTTTCATAAATAAGGATTTTTTATAATTGGTGATATATGTGAGAGGATTTAATTTATTGTTACCAGTAAAAGTAAAAGTATCCCATCACCTAAGTCAGCCCATACACTGCCTACTAAATCCTATCAAAATCCGTTCACTAGTTTCAGCGTGTTTGACGGACACACATCCAAACATCCAAACAAAGAAACTTTTACATTTATTATACCTATTAATGTGACACCGGTATTTGCCTGGGATTTCACTCCCTACCTTTTATACTAAGTGTCATTACAGGTTTTGTAGGTCTTCCTGGATAAATTAATAGACTCGTCATCGCAGCTTGTCACGGGCCTCTGGCGAATTTGCAGTCTCTTCATTTAGTTCTTATGACGCCCACGACGTAAAAGTTGATGACGGAACAGCTTTTCTGTGATCCACAAATTGTTAACCCGGGTCTAGGTTTTGTTTGTTTGAAACACACCCACGATAAAGAATGAAATCTTAGTAAGGGGCAAGGTTATAGCACAAGGGTTCCCAACCTTTTCTTGGCTCAGGCCCAATTTTTAGAACATTTGTTAGGTTAGGGACCACAACTAAGTATTATTACTTTTTCATGACTGTGGTCCGGACGCAGATTTTTTCCAGGGTCGTACGATTTATTCTCATAAAAATAGCGACATTTCGATTATTGAAATCGATTTATCCTCTTTGTTGTCTTTTTTGACATACGTTTCATACAGGTTTTAACCGTCGTATTTGTTGGAAACACAATACAACACGGTCCATATTTCGTTTTCTACGGACCACCGGTTGGGAGCCACTGTTATAGCAAATAAAAATACCCAACTAGTACAAGTAAATACCTTTCTGTCTGAAGACATAATATGAGTTTATTTAAAATGTAGCCGCGTTCAGGGCTCTGATTGGCCGACTCCGAATAACCAACCAATTAAAGGGCTATACGTGGTAACGTTTCGATCGCGTTAACCGCAAAATAAACTCGTACTAAGTCCCCTCGAAAATTCGGATGTTTGTTATTCGCCAACCATTAATTTGACACAGTTCTTTCATAAACACAGCCCCAACAATAACAAACACTAGAGCAAATAATTATCTAATTAATTGGGCGCAGCCGCTCATAAGTAATGCGCGAATAAACACAATTTATTTCTATTCTATTTATATTGTTAAAATCTATATACATGGTTACTTGTAACTCGACGTATTCCTCTCGGGAGGTTTTTTTTTTATATGGCAACATCATAAAAAAATTACAATCTAGCTTTAATGCTAATAAGTAATTCAATTTTGTCTTAATTTGCTAGGAAAAAAACCACCTCTCGGGAGGTGATAATACAACTAATTTCCTACAAAATTTGCCCTGAGGTCTCTGGTCCGAAAGTGGCTAGTTTCTGAGATATTCAACATTTTTGTTTTGATGAAAAAATCCCGTTCGAACTACAAAAACATCAATAAGTTAAAAACTATTTTGTTTGATTTAAATCATTTTAGTTTTAATTTGTTGTCAATACACCAATAGTCCAATGCACATTTATTAATACTAATACTGGCAGAAATATCATTCGTTTTTGTTGATGTTAGATGATTTATTTTACATATATAATTATGTATAAAAGAAGGCTGTCGTATATATCGTGTTAATAGCATTATATATAACTCAAGAACGGTCGAAAAAAATTGGTTGGGAGGTAGTTAAGAACCAGGAGACGGACAGTTTATATTCAAGGACTTTCCGAAAACTTTACGGGAACGAAAAAAAAGGAATCGCGCCTACAAAGTCGAGGGCAGAGCCTAGTATATATATAGATATATGTAGAAAAGGATACAATTGGCGATTTCGATTCCTGAATGAAATAAGTATGTATGATATGCAGGATCTTATTCCGGGTGTGAATGTGATGTATTATGTATGTGTATGTTACAATACAGGAGAATATTTTAACATAAACATCCTTTTAGTCCCTGAAGTGGTAGGCAGGCAGAGGTGTACAAATACATACAATTAAACAAGTGATCCAAGCGTTATTTCACGCTGCGGGCCGTCCTCGCAGTAATGACACCCAGGCGTTTTCTCCAGCCTTATCACAAACAGGTATCTCCCGAAGCTCTCATGTCCGACAAGAACCTGCGTCTGGCGGTAGGTGCGTCACGTGGTGGCGTCTCTCAAGCCATTCTGCAAAGAAGGGACTTACCACTGCAATAAAATGAGCTCAGCCGTCGGTTGCGACAGTCGTTGCTGACATTCCGCCATGACTTTCTGTAAGGTTATAGTATTATTCCGGTCGAGTCGGCCCGATTGTGCCGAAGCATGGATCTCCCACGCGTAATATGCTCGGTATTTGGTTCTTTCTATTACAATGTATAATAAAAAAAACATCAAAAAAGAAATTAATGTTTAGAATCTTCCGTTGGCCTTTAGTCTTTCTTTACCTTTATAAAAACAGTGGAAATATAATATAATTAGATACGAAACAACACAAGTTGAGAGATTAAAAAACAAAACTCAAATATTTTATAAACGTTCCGACAAAGACATCGTAAATTCTATTTAAAGCACAAATATTTTAACGTTAAATTAACGTTAATTTCGTGAATTCAAATCGTAGAGCTGTATGTAAAATATTCAGTTCAATTTGTTCATTCCATACATACAACGTACATATCTATCTGATTAGTTATGGTATAAAACGACAAATGAGCACACGGATCACCTGATGGTAAGCAATCGTTCTTGGACACTCGAAACACCAGAAGAGTTATAACTGTGTTTTGGCCTTTTTTTGGGGATTATGGATTGGGAATTTAGGGTATTAGGATTTGGGGATTGAAGATTGAGAATTGGGGAGTATGTGATTCTATGTGATGTGCACACGGGAAAACATACGGAAATCGTTGTTTGACGTCGGTATTCTGTGAGGCCGTGGTATTATTACTCTGGATGGTTTAGTTTTCATGAAATTAATTGGCATTTGGCTCATGTAAAAATACGCTCGAGTACATTTCCATTCCGAGTAGCAGTATAATTTGATTAAAATAACTAATAACATCACGCCTTTTATCCCCGAAGGGATAGGCAGAGGTGCACATTATGCCACTGTAAAATGTACCACCCTTTTTTATTATTAATGTTTTTTTGATTAAAATAATATGTGGAAAAATGCGAAAAGCGAATAGCACAAACAAAATTAATTTTCCCGTATATTTCGTTAGTTAGTTGTATACCTGTGTTGCTATACAACGGACGTTTGTTAGATCTGGTAATTACAATAACTACACGAAAATATTGTACCCACATATAAAAAAAATATAACTTCAATTTTCACGTGAAAGGTTCTTCGCCATTCGAATCATAAGCTGATTTAAGATCCAGAAAATGTTTTACGTTCTCATATCCAAACTATCAAAGCATTTAAAAACTTTGATGTAACTTGAAATTAATTGAGAAATTTCAAATATTTTTTGGTCTTATTACATGAATTATTAAGCTAACGAGAAAAAACATCAGCCGGTTGGAGAACCTAGTTAATGAAATAATCTTCGGATTTTAAGTCATCAATTTTTTTTATTTACTTACTTTTAATTTTTTGGGAAAACAGTTAATTCTAATAAAAATATGAGAAGTTAGGTAACTACTAACTAGGCACTTCTTGTACTTACTGTACGGTGGCCCAATTACCCCTCCCCCTCTTCCCCAATCCCTGAGGCCAGTAATGCACTTGTAGTGCCACTGGTGTTTCAGGTCCACGGTCCACGGGCAATACCGGATTTCTTACCATCAGGTGATACGTCTGCTCGTTTACTGGCTTATCCCGTAAAAAACACTCTCTAATTAGCGAAAAATAAATTACTAGCGTAGATTACGTAATCTTCAGAGCGTTCAACTAAAATAATTTTATTTGAAAATGATGATCTAGATTCTGATTAATTAGGTAACCACTTATGGCTCCATTCGTTTGCTTCCAAGTGTTCACAACAAACCGACAATCATGTTATTACTTAACACGTTCTCGACAGGGAGTATACACACAGTCGGACAATATGTTATGTGTGAATTATTACTCTATTAATTACTCTGTTTTGTCCACAGATGCTCCAGAGCTGGTAGTACTAACCACAGAAAAGTCAGTACCTCTACGCTTTGAGCTAGAATACCTAGTCCAGTGCATCGCAACATGGTCTTCAAATAGCGACCTTGTGTGGCACATCATTAAAGTCATTATCATTTACACGTAAGTATTTTGGGTATAGTAAAATCAGTTTTAGTGTGTTTGAATGAGTTGTGGAGAAGAATGTAGTTTGTTTGTTTGACAGTATCGTAACATTAAAACTTCACAGTATGAGTATTCGACCACGATATTAACATCTTGGCACAAAATTAGGCAATTTGCAACAAATAGGGAATAAGAATTTATGAAAGAAAATTTTAATTATTGGAAAGATAAGACTGCCTCGTTGGCCAGGTGGTTGCAAGTGCAACTGTTGAGCAGGAGGTGTTGGGTTCGATTCCCGGGTGGGGCAAAGTTTGTTAAACTTTTCGACTAGTTTCAAGCCATGCTTGTAGTCGAGTTCCTCTTCAAATTATTACGTGAGTAAGCCGAAAACATAATAATTTATTTAGTATATCTCACGAAAGTTACAATACAAAAAAAGTAGATATCTTGTCAGTCAGCTAGGGGGCTTACTCTTGAATCCAATTCCGATTGATCGACATTAATATTGTGGTTGTAGTTTTGATAGCAATACTAGTGTAATTGCATTCGTAATGGATGACCTAAATGGTATTGTGGATGGCTGTATATTGCGTGCTCTGATTGATAAAGAATCGTCACCACAAAGTTCACAACAGTGCTAGAATCAACTTCTAGAGCCTCAAAAATAAAAACAAAATAAACGGTATCATAATATCATCGGTAATATTATCACGTCTATTATATTCCTCAAAAGGTCAGGTATTGCACATAAATCACGAGCCCTTTTGCTCAAAAATTATGTTCACACCAACCACAATTGTTCGCCGCCGACTGTGAGTATGCTCACTGTCTGCCCCAGTGAGAAAGTGGACTCTATCTGCAGTACGCATTCTCTCTAAGCCGACGCTAATGGTAAATTTTATTTTAATGTCCGTCTGGTAGATACATTTTAAAATACACACGTATTTTTTCTTTGCTCACAAAATTAAATACTTTCGACAATTTTTCGTAATGACCTCCCACTCCTAAACTTAACTCCATTTTATCTTAGTATAGTATAGTAACATTATACGAGAAAATAAAAAAATACGTGTCTAGTATTTTTTCAGTTTCTAACTGACGAACTTATGAGATTATAAATATATACAACTTAAAATATAATTTAAAACTAAAATATTTACACCTTAAAAAATAAAATAAAAATATATCATAAGACATCAAAGAAAACATTTTCCTCAGCGTTACCATGAGGTAGGGTGCCCAAAAGACTGGCAGCATTGCCACGTTGAATGGCAATGCTTAACCTTTGCCCAAAGTAGTAGCCAGCCCTTCGATCACCTGACGAACTAATTAGATTTTTAATTTTCATTCTCTGGCAACTACCTTATTGTTTACTAAAATCATAAATAATTATGTCGTCCTTACTCCGTCCTCAATTTAGGGTAAGCAAATCGATCAACAAAAACACGTCTCTTGATTTTTTCCATATAATTTTCGACTTTTTTTTCGTTAAGTCTTAAGGTCGAATATCAAACAAATTTACATATTTAGGGTAGTTTGTTGTGCGTTTTTACTCTGAGCACACAATTATTTCGTGTTTTCATTGCCAGTATGAAAAAGTCCTTGAACGGGCACTTGATTAAAAAAAGAATTGTTTATGAAAATTTTTGTTTATGCCAATATATTTTCGACCTTACTTCTTAACAGTGATAGGGTTGTTTAGTAAATTAAAATATTGAGCTTCATTTCGTATTTGATTTTGTTTTTCTGCATCTACACTAATTAAAAGAGGAAAGATTAGTTTTTTTGTTTGTTTGTTTGAATTGAATTGAATAGGCTCCGAAACTACACACAAACACAAACCTTTTATTCCATTAACAGGATTGCTCCTCCTTATTTGCTTTTTCGATTTGTAGCCACGTGGTACGGGCACAGTACTTGATATTTAACTTAAGCGCTTAAAAGTTGCCGAGCGTACGGCGCGTCGCGTTCCGCGCGCGCTTAAAAGAGCCATCAGAGCACCACGGATGGGGGGGCCCAATAGGGCTGATGCGGATACGGCGCCGCGGAGAACTTATCGGGTTACCGGGGCTCCGGCTTGAAGTGCAGAAGTGGGAATAGGGTGGTTTTTAGTCAGTAAGAGTCTGACACTCCCTCCCCGACTCATCCAGGTGGTAGAAGTCATTCGATGAGTTTCGCCCCTTAAAAAAAAGTTTAAAGATATATAATTATTTTTTGAGCGCTGTGTTAGTCAATACGCACCGTGGCATGGGAACTGTAATGTAGTATGTGGAAGAAAACACTGATGTCTGTGTACACCAAGCAGCTTTATTGAACTGAACTAAATGTAACGTGTAAATAAATAATTACGTATGACAATGTGATCGTAGGTGTCACCATAAAATTGTCAGCATGCTCGTACACGCGGGGTATGTACTTGGGTCTGGTATACGTCGATAAGCGCTTACTGCAACTTAGTATACAGATGAGGGCTGCGGAATATTATAGTGCTAGCTATTACACAGGACAAGTAAGTGCCAAGTTGTGTTTTTGTAAACCTGTCTCCAATACTTTAAAAAGAGCGCAAGCAAAACCGTGTGCAACCGTGTGCTAGTCCATAAATAAAATGTATTTAGTCAATTGAATTCATATTTTTTCTTTAAATCTCTGATTCTGAGGCAGCTAAATAGTACTAATAGTTCTTGTTATTTATAATCTAGTTTTTTATTGGCAGTCAAAGGCTATATAAGGAGTGCTTTGGTAGTTTTTTCACATATCGAGTTACATTATCGATATTGTCACACGGTTACCTTTTTTTTTCTCTTATTAAATATAGCCTACGTTTATCATCGATAATGTAAGATTCCAACGGTAAAAGAATTTTTCAAATTAAGCCGGTAGTTTCAGAGCAGATTCAATTCAAACAAACAAACATAAAGTCTAATCTTTCCTCTTTATACTATTTTTGTTGATAATTACATTTTCATTAATTAGACGAAGAAAACGGTTGCCATAGTAGCCGTTGGATGGAATTTTCCACTCGTATTAAAAACTCGCTATTAGGTACAGAGGATGTGACGTGAACTAGAAATCCTTATAGATCCATGGGCGGAGCCGATTGCTTACCATGTGGTGATCCGTCTGCTCGTTTACCGGCTTATTTCATAAAAAAAGGAATAATCTAAAACGTAAATAAAGTAAATAGCATCGCCTATCCCTTTTGGGATTAAAAGCCACTACGTTACAAAGTAATCAAAAGTCATAATATACTTAGGTGTCCAAGAAAAGGCTCCGCAGAAATGCTTTCTCATAAAAAAAAGGTTCAATAAAATCATCTTTTTTGGATGCAAGAAAGTGCTAAGAGGTCTCATAGCTCTTTGAAGGCTTATTATGTCGTCTCATGATAGTTATTATTAGACTTCGCTTAGTGCGATATATGCACAATAAAAAACCAATATCTGGATGATCGAGCTTCGCTTCGTATTCTTGTTAGTACATGATGAATTGAATGAATAAATAAATTGTTACATGGTAACCAGTTTGGTTTTACCAGGGGTCGTTCAACAACCGATCGTGTTGAACTTCTTAATCACATATGTGACGCGTGGGAGGACTCAAGCGACGCTTTAGGCATTTTTTTGACTTATCCAAGGCGTTCGATTGTGTCCTTCATTATACATTGACATTGATCAGGAAACTATCCCACTATGGAATAAGAGGTAAATCTCTGGATCTTCTTACCTCATACTTGAGTAACAGGATTCAGAGAGTCAGATAAAACGAAAAATCTCCGCCGGGTCTGTTGTCAGGATGGGGGTTTCGCAGGGGTCAATCCTCGGCCCTTTTTTGTTTCTTATATATATAAATGGCTTGCCTTACCTTGTGAGGGATAACCACGGGATAGTACTATTTGCGGATGATACTTCGTTATTATTTAAACTTAAACGTAGACAATTTTCATAGTGTCATGTCATATGGTATTCTCCTGTGGGGGAATGCTGCTGACATTCAGTCTATCTTTGTTCTGCAGAAGGGGGTCATACGATCAATTTATAATCTTAGTCCGAGGTACTCTCTCAGGGAACTATTTAAATAAATTAATGTAATGACTGTTGCCTCTCAATACATTTATGAAAATGTAGTATATTCTCATAAAAACAAAAGTTTATTTAAAAAGCACATATTATCAACACGAGAAATAAAGATCATTTAAGATTTTTTCTTATGGCCTTTTGCAAAATGCATAATAACCAGTTATTATTAAAACATGTATTTTATTCTTGTTTCTAGACTTCCACTATTGCTGATGACCGTGGCGTATTACCAGATTGTGAAGGTGCTATGGCGATCAGACAAGATACCGGGACAAGCAGAAACTATCAAGTTAGCACCGGCTGAACAATGTAAGTAGATTTAGAACTCCACGATATTTAGTATGCACGTAAAAAATCTAAATACCAGTTTGAGTTTCAATCATTTTTCTTGTTGGCCGGGCCGACATACTTTCAAACAAAGCCTAAAAATGTATGGAACTGAAATGATCTCCTTTACAATATTAGGTACCTATACATTTCTATGTTACCTGAAGTATTTTTGATAAGTGAGTTTCATGCCAATGGTTCATTGACAACTTATTTATTTATTAAACTTTGCTGCACATACCTGTGAAATTACTTAATACCGTAGGCATTCTCTGACAGTCGATTAGGTGGTGCAGAATGTAAAAGCGGTAGGTGCAAAAATATAGAAAAGAAAGTGTGAAGTAGATAACGGAAGTTACTGAGGTAATAAAATATTAAAGATAGAAGACATGATTGTTATAATTAATAATACATAACTAAGGACATAGGGACTTATTTATACAATAAATATATACCACTGTCAAACAGTGAAGGAAAACATCGTGAGGAAACCTGGGCTTATAATTTCTGATTATGAATTTGAAATTGTTAACCCGTATTGAGCAAGCATTTTTTTATGGAATAGTAAGCCTTTGATCAGCAGTGGCTACTTATAGGCTGATGATGGATATAAATATAATGATATAGATATACCTCAGTTTCTAACAGACCCTACTACCAGAATGTCCATTTACAAATTCTCAACCTTAATTTCGTCTCTCAAAGGGATGTGGCGTTTATGGAATTTCGTGGATAGCAATTACGGAATGTCCTTGATATTGACTCTTATATACATCTACTACGGGCTGGTGCTGAAAATCAGCGCCGTGAACTCGAGCCTTCGTGCCCGGGCTACAGTATAATGAGTTTCAGCTTTTGCGTTGCGACGTATCTGTTGTGTGTCGTGGCGTAATTTTTTTTTTTCTTTCGTTCTTACAGTCTTTCCCATCGGTTTTGACCTTTGACCTTGGGTCAGTGTCCTTAAAGTAACTAAGAGTCCTTTCTTCCTAATTGCTAAGGAAGGATCCAATTGGAATGATGCCAGGGTATGAAAATTAAAAATCTAATTCGTTAGGTAATTTATTTATTTATTTGGACATCCAGTTGTTGCTACATTTTTATCCTTAACTTAAAATTAGGAATTAACATCTTACTGCTAATGCACAACATTTGAAGGACATCACAGCATGCGTTGAGTTGAGAACACTATATCAATTAAATTTAATTTACCTAATTTCTCTGCATTACCAAATTTGCAATAAATTAGAAATTATATAATTAGTAACAACTTTTGTTATTACTCATTATACAATAGTCAACCCGGAATACAAAAATATAAATACAAAACAAAAGAAAACAAAAGAATAATCAAATATCAAAATAAAAGACACAGTCATTAAAAGCTCAAAAAAAAATAAAAAAATTAACATTAAAATATAAAATTGGTTGCGAACAAATCAAGTCAACAGCAATATAATAACACAAAGTCAACAGCACACCACAACACTAAGCTTCATCTCACAACAATCCCAGAACAGCTTTTTTGAATTTTGGCAATCTATCACTAAACAAATCAACCCTCTCACAGACAGAGTTATAGGCTCTAGAAAGACGAGATATGGTGGAGAACCTCTTTAGGTTGGTAATTAAAAAATATTAGACACTTTTTTTTTATTATGTCGTATAAGAAAACATTACTTAGATATACGGATCAAAGTTTAGGAGTGGGAGTAAAAATGTTATTTCTACGTATAAAACGTCTCTCGAAGTGACGTCACGCGATATTTCAAATCAATATATCGTCGAAAGTATTTGTATCTGTAAGGAAATAAAAAATACGTGTCTAATGTTTTTAAATAATCTACCAGACGGACATTAAAATAAAAATTAGTCAACTACCTTATTATATGACAACATTTAGCTATATTGTCTTATGTCCGTATTCACGAGAAAATATTATTATGTGTAGTACGTGAAGTATGTCTACTTCAAGTGTCTTCTTGAGAACCTTTTTCTTCATAAAAAATACAAGAATTATTACCATTACACACACTAACTAGTAACAGATGAAATAAACGATAGAACATTATTATAATGAGAATTAATATTTTGAGTCGTGTTGGTTATGGCTAATACAAAGATTCTATAAACGAAAAAAGAAATGAAAAAAAAAAACGAAATATGTCGAGAAATAGTAACTGTGTTACTAATAATTAGTATCATAATTAATAAAAAAATATTGCGTTCAGTAGACTGAGCTAATTACGACATCTTTACCAGAAAAAATTCTTATCGAAAATGTCACAAACACACTTTGGCTTATCACAAGAAAATATTGAATTTGTCGCAGACAGCTAGTTAATTACGAATCGTGTTTTTATTTATTCATAGATATTATTTTACGAATTTATGCACGAATCCCTAATTTTCGTCTTTTGAAGAGATTTCTTCGACGAGTTCAATATGTATTTTAAGTAACAAAAGATTGTAGTGCCCCAAACTAGCTAGAGTGATGTACCTCTAGACATTACCGTGAACTCTGTGTACCTTGTTCGGATAAATAAATTATTATTTATTTTGATTTTTGGTTCCTGCCTTTTTTATTCCCTGAAGTTAGGCCAAGTTTTTCTTCTAAACTCTTACTCTTTGACGTCGAAATGGCTGAAGGTATCGGGATGACATTAGGAACAGAGGTAGATTATGGACTGGGATATCACATATACCACTTTTTATCCCACGGCAATGCGGGCGATGCCGATGTAAGAAGCTAGTACTTTATAATTCCAAAGTATTAGGGTTGAGTTTGGAACTTTTCACTTTCCATCCACAGTAAAAAAAAACATTTATTACTGTGCAGCCTTCTAGTTTTAGACACAAAAATCACACTATAAAACATTAATTGAATATTGGTGCTAAGTACATTGTTCTCACATAATTGAACCAACAAAACAATGCAACCGAGATTTATGTTATGAACCTGATTAAAATGAAGTGATTTATGGAGTTTCTTGCTCGTTCTCTTCCATAGGAAACGACCAAATAGCTTCACTACAGGACTAACCGACAAACTGACATTTTTTTATATTTCATTATTTTATTTTGAAGTCCATAAGTGCCCTTCTGGTTGAATTGAAGTGTAAATGATTTTGACTTTAACAGATTTAAATTCTCCAAACAAAAAATACACAATCTCAATAACTCACAAGGTCCCAATATCTTGTTTATGGCGCTACACGATGGCGGCACAGCTTAAATTTTTCCGCCACACGACGATGTTTTTTTATTCTCCTTTTGTTGTAACGTTAATGAAAAACAAACAAACACTTTGGCATTTATAATATTAATATATTTTGTAGTCAACAAACCGATTATAGTATAAAAATAAACTCATACAGCCATAAATTATTGATCTCGACGATGAAAATACACAGCACATCGACTATCATAAACTGACTGTTTAATTTACGGAGAGACCATATCAAGTGAGACCATGATACACTGGTCTTGTATAGTTTAATGTGTACCTATTCCATGACCATTACAGTCAAAATGGAATCTCCATAAAATGAGAGTGAAGTGTAGACTGGCGTTTCGATCAAGTATATTTTATATGAATAAAAATATTTGTACTGTCTATATAAATACATCAAACATCTACGTAAAAAACAAAAACTGCGTTTAATAAAACCGACTTCGAAAATCAAAACTAAAAAGCAAAAAATAACTATTATTAGTCATACGTACTTATTGTTTACCCACCCACTGATAAGTGAGAAGTCGGTGCAATAAGTTTTAAACAAAAGTTATTCTTTAAACCCAATCCCGTAACAAATAACTTATATTACCTAAGCTGCGTACAATTTTATGACAGGATATAACTATGACCATTAATCTAAGTTATATTTTGTTATGGGCTTATTGCACCGACTTCTAGCCTATCAGTGGGTGGGTAATTAATACGTATGACTAACTACGGAGGTTTTTAGTCAGTACGAGTCTGATACTCCCTCTCGCCTCACCTGGGCGGGAGAAGTCGATGGAAGATTTCCCCCCCCCCCTCAAAAAAAGGTTTGTTGCTTTTAATAATACCTACTATAAATAGTTTGTCTGAAAATTCGATGATCGTAGCAACCGGATGACGGAGGTATATGATAAAATATTTTTATTATCTATATCTGTAAGGTCAGAAATATGTAGAATATCGATAGAAATAGAATTATTTGTACTATCGAGTTGACCTTCAAGACTGGGTTACATTCGTTTCAGTACTACTAATCTTTAATTTTCGCAATTGGTCGTACGTCAATGAATTATTAGGAATCATAATTGTTTTGTAAAAATTATGGACAAGTCGTAGGGGTCGGTACTGAAACGTCTGTGAGTATAAAAATAAATGAATCTATTTCAATATTTTATCTTCAAATATTTCATATTACAAGTATAAAAAATCCATTGTAATAATCGATTTTTTAAAATGTTAATTACGATTGATCTGAAAACTGATAACTGACAGGTAACAATAATTACGGCAACCAAACTAAGGTCCAGTTTCACCAAACTGTGTTTGTTAAATCCTAATTAGTCATTAACTAATGAGTTGTTAATAATTAACGGGCTGTTATATCATTGTATGTCCCACGAGAAAAAAGTAACAAGCCGTTATTAAACTGTATATTTAACTGAACGACTTGTAAGCTGTTCACTCTTATTTTAAGCAACCAAATTGAAATGGTTTTTTGTGACATGTTATTTAGACCGAGTTCGGTAATATTTTATCTAGTCGTATAATACGTCATTAGTTGTGCTACGCGACCAATTTCAAACGAGTTCAATTTCAATTTCAAATTTAAAAACTCAACTGAGTTTTTCTTATTTCTTCCTCAGTATTAGGGAATTGGATAAATTTGGGGCCAAGGGAGGCTATTGCAGCAGTGACCCTGTGTATTATTCTATGAGATGACGACTTACTTATCCCACAATAATCTCCCACTGTTATTTGTTGA